GTGCTGACACTTTTGCGGAAGACAAATAAACATCCTGTAGAAGCTACGCCGAGAAATTTTTGTTTGCAAGTGTGGTAGTAGCCTGAATGAGCCTAAAAGCAACAACTTTCTTCTTTCTAGGCTGGCAACCTCCCCAAAATACAGAAATGCCGGAATGATTTGAAATTACTCCTACTTTACTGATGACTGATTTATTTTGCCATTAACAAAAACAAAATTGATTTGCTCATATTGCCAACTTGCCTACTAACTCCTTTTCATAATTTATTTTCAATAATACATCTATTCGAAATAGAACAATAACTCGATTGGTTGGTCAGAATCGGAAGTAAAGGCAGAAGTGCAAACAAGTTTTAGTCGGGTGTATCGCGGCACAAAAAAGTTAAAACCCATTGGTCGCTTCTTTGATTGCTCCATCCACAAGGGATTGGCTTTAATCACTTACAGATACGCTTCGAGTAAAGATTGGGCCTGCAATGGTCTCAGGTTCCACCTAAAATATACAAAGACATTGTGTGATAATTACTCCAGTACACCTGAGTTCTGTTAGCACTTTGGCGGATTTCAATTAGAAATATTGTGCTAAAATGTAGCACAAGGCAGACAAATTTGACACAAGTATTAGTGGTTGGAAAACAACTGAACCCCTGAAATTTCAGGACTCTAACGAAGAGGCTGAAGGTGGGATGAATCCAGTGTGGATGAACGAAGAAATTAATTGGTCAAGTTCTTTACTTGCATGAAATCAAAGGATACAATTAGCTTCCTTCCAAAAACTTTCAGAATATACTAGAAGAAAGTGGTTGAGAGGGGAGTGAAGAGAAATGGAAAATGTAGGAACATACTCTAACGATATCCAGTTGCCTTAGACAAGTTGTGTACTGTACAAGGTCATTCATTAATGTGGATAAACAATTCAATTAATACCTGGTATTATCATAAGAAGAGGAAGTTGAGCCGTCTTAACTCGTTAATTGAGTAGCCTGTTCTCAGTAGTTCTAATCCATTTTGTTAGTGACTCATTTAATTGTCCTGACTTCCAGTTAGACATTGATGATTATCGTATTTCCTTTCACTTCCAAATACTCCTTCCAATTTGACAATAGCACAAACAAATGCAAATCTGTAGATTTTAGGAAAGGAGTAGGGACTGTCAGTTGGTCTGTGGAATTTGGAAAGTTCCCCTCCATTGTCTTCTTTCCTGGTCACTCAGAAGGCCTCCATTGAGTCCGATTTTAGTTAAACAAAATATAATCTTCTTCCCTGCATGGTACTTCCAAAACCCCAGTGTTTTGTAGGACTTCTATTAACTTGAACTTAGCAGACGAACATTCGCATGTTTTTTGCGGCATCCTTGCATGTCGCAATCCTTCATGTAACAGTCCTCGAAGTTGAGATTTATGCTTCTCGAAGCAGGAATAAATAGTGTGGGTTGTTTAACCCCGACTCGATCACTTCCTCTTAGCAATGCGTCTTAACAACCTTTCCTTTAACTCTTATTTGGTACCTACTGGTTGAAATTTATACTCGGGGCTACCAAAACACTGTTTTCCTTGTGTCGAAATAAGTACCATTTTCTTTCCCAGCTTTGCATTTCCCTCTCAACTACTACCTGCGAACACACTACTTGTGATTTTATGGTTCGACTTGTATGTTTGCAACTCATTCCCTGAGTACTGGGAGATTTTTCTAAGCATTAATAAGACTCTTCCCTCAAAATGTTAAGCACTAAAACAGCCTTTCACGTTGGACTTGCTTAAGTCTTTACGATACAAAGAGAAGTAAGCTAGCAATCTTACCAATTGTGAGGCTGGAACAAAGACTGCAACATATTTCCCATCTTTTACGATTGGTTCGACTTGTGAAAACTGGGGCAATTTTGGCATCTGAGGGTATTTACTGATATTGTCTCCTGTTTCCATGATCTAAAACGTATGGCAACATTCGCTTTTAATAAACCCCACCATGAATATACAAATGGTAGATAGTTAGGTAAGTAGCTGTGTTAGTTCCTCAGATCTATTTGAAAAGTTTACCAATGCTTCAACTGGGTGCATTTCAGCTGCCGAGTGACTAGATACCTATTAACAAATATGCCCTCATAAAAGGATGTATGAAGCTGTGAAAAACGCAGACAGTAGTCATACAATTTCATTTTATTACCAAATTTGTGCCACAAAAATGCTTCAGAGAGGGACAAACTTACTGATGATGGTGGTCTCTCCTTAATCACTTCCTTCTCAGCCATTTTCTAGAAATTAGAAAAATTGATTTTAAAGTGTTAAGCTTTTGGATAGATGTGCTAATCAGCGTTAAGTTACATTTTGCTTAAAATGGTCATTTCTGCACTAAATATTAAGATACAAGGTGGGTACATTTGTCATTATGTGCGTCTGCCATGTCAAAGGGTATGCCAACTGGATGTCCATCTGTACTGGCGGAGGTGGTAAAATCCAATTTCTTCACAATGCAGGATCTATCACTCCACTCTACACTCGGAATAAGCTTTCGAAAATGGCATTTGAGAAGTTGGTACGAAATATTAATAGAAGTAAAACGGATCTCCCCTTTGAACAATGCTCGAGGTCATATTTGGCTAATTTGCTTCGATTAAAATATCACTGGTTGCCACCCACTTGGGATATTTTACATCTCCCGTGCCTCCATTCTCGATCGACTTACATATTTTGTACAAATTTTGGGCTTAGTGTTGACAATGCCTTGAAATACTTGGTTTGCTGGTCGTTCTGGTGATAGACTTGGATATTTAGAGCCTCGTAACCGTTGAAAAATGTTAATTCTCATGAAGGCTACTTTCTGGAATTTTCGCTATTGAACTGTATGTTGTCTCATGGCCGCCAGGTAATCCAAACACAAAATGGGCATTCAAATTTGCTTTTTAATCCAAAAGAGACAGATTTCCGCACTCATGTCTTGGCAACAGAAGGATGCCTCCTTTAGAGTGCTTAAGAAGTTCCATTCATGGCAGGTTTGAAATCAATGATCAGGAAAAGTTGGACATGAAACGATTCCTGTTAGCGCCTTTTAAACGACATTTCTCTTGTACTTTTAGCGTGCATTCATTGTAAAACAATTATAGTCTCCGTTTAATTATGCATGTGTCACTAGATATTGCTAAATTTCTGCCGAAAAAAAGTCTTACGAAAATGGCATATTGTTTTAAATTGACTAATTACGAAGAATTCTCCCTTTCCCACATCCTTATTTATTTAATGAGGCTATGTTGAATTACTATGATGTGACCTGATATACCTGAGACTCTAAACGCGTTAACACGATGAAAATTGCTCAGGATTTACTTATTAACCACACTGTGTGATCCTTAGCTTCCCGCGAAAATGTCATCAGTATAGGAGTCTTACATGGTCTTTGCTGTTGATATGCTTGTTAACTTCATCGAAATGGAGGTATAAGTAGCAGTCATTGCAGAACAAGAATTCCCTCCTTATTGTAATGTTATTCGCATGCAGTAATTCGCGCATTTCTCTCGAAAGTGTGTCCTAAATGTACGCGATTATTAAGAGCTTTAAAATTAAATTAAAAAAATTCATGGGATTACGAACCTCAGATATACCATCCGGTAAAGAACTTCTGAGTGGCAGTTCAGGAAGTGGTTGAATTACTTCCATATAAGGAGTACCTCCAGAGTTCTCCATGGAATCATTGAACATGCTGTCATTGCTAACAACCTTTTATTTTTGGAAGGAAAGAAAACAACACGAAATTCTGCTTTAATCGCTGTAAACTGTACAAATTGATTGAAAATTAGTGCTCACATATTTCTTGTCCTCTTGAGAACTTTGACGTTGATCATAATTTTCGATTTGGTTAGTCTATAAAAGAAGTGATATTGTATCTTAGGATCTTCTAGGAGAGACTTTTTTTGTGCTCATAATTATTAAAATAATTACATCTAAGAATTGATCTCTTGCGTAGAAGTTTGTCTATATGACTCTTTCTTGACCTTATCTGGCACATTTTCTGCCAGGAAGTTCAAGACAAAGTTCTAGGTGCCCTACGCTTTCGCCTGGTTACGTCGGCGCACCAATAAAGTGACAATCGGCTTATCAGGCTACCCAGCATTTATGAAATGGCCAATTATAAACCGATAAATTTATTTTCCGCTATTTGAGCTAAAATTCCTCCACTTTTCCTCCGTCTGCTGTGTGAGCAGCTTTTGCTTTAACAACTTAAGGTAGATTTTGTGTTAAGTCTCCTTGTGAAGTTGAGTTATTTGGTTTAATGATCATCTGCGCGATAAGTTCATTCAGATTGCCTTCAAAAGGTAGTAAGCTTGATGGGAGTTAAAAGTGAGGAAGTTTACAAGTTCGCCTTTTAAAGTGGAGATCATTCGTTCCCTCGACTCTCCTTCTCTGCCTTATGCTGACTCCACTCACTACTTTCGGCTTTATACAGTCTTTGCAACTACATCACAATTCTCTCACTAAGTTTCTATTGCCTCATCAAGTCAATAAGAACTAACTCGGACACAAATACCAAGTCAGTTATGTTGTTTTCCGTTTAGAAAAAAATGGCAAGTAAACTTCGAGGCGAATTTATGCAAGAGTACAACACTTGGCTTACTTCTTTAAGACTTGAGAGTTTCCATGTTCCCATCTTTTCGGGTACAACAGGACATTCTTGAGAGCGACTGGCCTGTTGAGAAAACCCAAAGGAGGCTCATTTTAAATGCAACTTAAAGTGTTGGCAATCTATTTGCGTACACCAGTCAAATTAAACGAAAACACTTTTTTCCAACCATCCAGCATAAACCTTCTTTTAATGAAAATTGCAGATATCGAATTTCTTTTCGACTAATTTGTTCGTGTGGGGCCAAGATTCTAAGAATAAGGACGACGTTGTTGTATTTTATGTAATTAGGCACTGACAACCATTAATAGTACTAGTATCACCTCTGAAATGATTGAAGGAACATGGAAGGAATGGAACATAACGCTGTATTTAATCATAACATCTTAAAGGCAGTCTTAGATAAAAGGTCTCTTACGTAGAACAGATATTTATCGATTTAGACGCGTACAGACAGCAGGATACTCTCATTAGAGGTGATACACCAGTGTCACTGAATATTGTGCGATTGAGTTATTTTCCACCATTTAATAGCGGTGTAATTTTGAAGGTGGACTTTCGGCACCGCCACCCAATTTTTAAAATAACTATACTTCAGGCTCTCGCTTTCCTTGCAAGTTAGATTAGATTAAAGTGGTTTATGGACTACTAATTTTTATAATCCTCGCATGATCTCCCTCGAAGGTTAGATCAAATTGGCAACTGAATTCATAAAAATTGCCACAGAATTGGTGGCCACATTTGTTGCTCAGCTGTCTAGAGATCGTAGGCTTAGAATTGTGACCTAACTTCAAAGCCGACTCCCGTCATTTATTCTATGTGGGTCTACTTGGGTACCACGGCCCACTCCAGCGCACGTTGGTATATTTCAAATTCCTCCTATTTAAGCAATGTCAATCTAACTCATTATAATACTTTTGTTAGTATGAATACGTTTCTCAGTCATTAAATGAATGCCAAGCTGACCACAAGATGTACTGCATTGATCCAATGAATACTATTCACGTCTACTTACGTCTTCATCGTCTGCCGTTGGGATAAGTTAGGCCTGGCGACTTAGCAACTTGCATGTGAGGTGTTAGCCCATCCTTGTCTCCACGGTTACAACTTTAATGCTGTAAATATCCTAGTAGGCATTAGAAGCGCAAGTAGTGACTTGCCACAACACTCCCTTCAATAGACTTAACTCTGGGACGCATCTCTTTCGAACCCTATCATACATCAAATGGTTCAAAGTTACATTCCCCTAGTTTCCAAGTGGGTACAAACAAATAAGATTCGTATTTAAACTTTCAGTATATTCTGGAATACTACCATTGATATTAGTTAATGACTTACCTCTTCTTCCATTAACCGAGAGAGGTTAACATTCTAGTACAAAATGAAATGTATTCCTTGCATCATCATTGAATTCAAATAAGCATGTTAGATGTGCACCTTACTTTAGCTAAAATGTTTAAGCTTTCCAGGCAAGCATTTCAGCGAAGCGGATCACAAAATATAACCTGCCCACGCTAAGACCTCTTTTTCATTTAGCCGCGTTAATCAACAGGCGAGCTCATTAAAACCATGTGCACATTTTTGTTTTAACTTACGACAATCGAATCGAAATCGCTGTTTGGTACCTCCTCTTTCACCTCATTACGGCATGTTTCCACAAGTGGCATTTCAAAATTCTCCGGCAATTCCTTTTTCCTAAACTTTATGGAAGACACGTTTTCTTGCATGTATTTCCATGAATATTCATAATAAAAGTGCAATATCATGGCTAAACTCACATTCAAGTTATTTTCACTGAAAGGTTTTCTTGGTAAATAATTCGGCATTTCCGGCTGTACGGTGTGTGGCTTCATTGAAGGTTTCTTTGTGTCAGCTTGAATATCATTCAGAAGATTTACGCTTCCCTAAAGGGAATAATGAGATTTCCATTTCTTTTTACATATATATTCAATAGAATTGCAAATAGTTTGCACAATGGAGCATGAATATTTTCACATAATGCTCTTATTCATAACGCCTTAAGTCCATCCTTTCTGGAAAGCTTTATCAACTTATCACTTGGCTAGAGGACGAAGCATCATAAGAGACATTTGCTTTCAACCGCCACTCAGAATTAATATCATTGGCTGATCAGGAATTGCTATCGGCCTTTGACTTACCCGGTGTGCAAATTCACAGCTAACCCGTTAGTACTAAGGAAAGCTGAAATAATAACTTATATTTAAATCTAGTACTTAGGATGTTTTCTATTAGAACAATTATTCCTCTAATAACTACATTTGATTTTACGATTTTTCTGCTCCATAATGTCTCCAATGAAAATCGTAAGAAGCATAACAATGATAAGAGAAAAATGATGAACAAACTCACTGCTGTACTACGTCTAACTGAAAATAAGTGCCTTGGAGTAAGACGATGCGATTCAAGACTATCTATTTCTTCAAATTCTAAATTGCAGACTTCACAGACGAACGACTTTTCCGCATTCTCCCTCGAAGGCTCTGTCACTTCAGGTACATTGAGCGGTGGCGGTTTGTGTTGTTCTGGTTGTTCAGATGGAATTATATTCGATTTTACTGATTGCTTTATTTCTGGCTTCTTCCATGATGGTGGAGGACAGGGGTGGGAAAGAAGCTTGTCCAAATTTGAGAACATGACTTTGCAGTCGATGCATTGTACATTTATTGATCTAGCCTGCAACTGTATGGAGGCAATTGCTGACTCTCCAGGTTAATAAGAGGGTTCATTTTGCAATCAAATTGAAATAAATTAGTGAGAAGAGAAAAGTGTGATGTGATTTCCCATTTTGGTTCCCTCTCAGTTGTTTATATTTTTAGGCTTATTAAAGGAAATAAAGATAGCTCATCCGATGTGGGATTCTGTGGTTGTATTTAGCTGCGTGTAATATCGATTTCTTTTCCCCAAACCTGTAATTCAATTTTTTTTAGTAATTTAATTTTTTCGCATATGCACTAAGTATCTGGTATTCGTCATAAGTGACCACCACTGAATTAAGCTGTTTCAAATGCTCTCAAATGTCTTATTTGCCATTTCGCAGCTTTAAAAAGATAAGAGTGTTTAAAGTGGCTTCACCAGAAGCTTTGACAACGGCGCACTTAAATTGGCCATGAAACTCAGAATTAAATTTTTGACGGTACAAAGTTAATAATATTCAGTTTGAGTAATTAATGATTTCTACTTCTACGAATGGAATAAAGTAACTCTAGACATTTTTGACTTGTATCCTCGACCTTATTCGACTCTGGTTAAACCATTACCGGACCTTCCACCATTTTGAAACTCCATATGTTTATTAATGTTTTGGAAATTGTTGCAGAAATCGCAATACTTCATATCCCTATAAATGATTAGATAAACTGCGAATTTTATGCGCACTTTATTTTCCATTTCGAGAAAAAAATCATAAATGTATGAATGTTTCTAAAGGCAATTAAGAAAAATTCATTTGGGTAATTGCATTCCAATCAATCCATCCATGGGCTCGAATACAAACAATGATTTTCGGTGTATTTTGATCAATAAACTCACCCGATGCAACTGTGGCTTTGGTTCTTCTTTCACATCCGTCTGAGTTTGAGCTGCTAGCATTATTTTCTCTTTTGAAGTCTACAAGGAAATAAACGATTTTGTGATTTTACATCAGCACCATTCAAATTTTATTCCCATTCCATTTTGTTTGCGTCAATCTAATGTCACAGCAAGACTAGAAGAAAGAGTAGAGGAGCTCACAACGAGCTATCATGAGCTCCTGTCGCTGGTATTAAACCTTTTAGGTATTCAGTTAATGTGCTCACGAACCCCATTTGGATAAGCGTATGGCTCTGATGATTTAAATAATGCTTGGGCCACTGAAGAGGAAAAAGCTCAGTATATGTCCTAGATGTGTAAACCATCATTTGCTGGTTGTCTATTGAGACCATTGACTCATATATTTCCTTTATTATTAAATAAGTCTTCTTGAATCATGACCCTCGTAACTTCACAGTTGCCCGTCTTTAAGGTGAGCATTAGTTGCACTCAAAGAAACACTCCTTTAATTAACAACAACAGCAATGGGAGATCCAGAATTTAATGAAATTGTATTGAATATGGTTTATTCGTCCATAAATAGATTACATATCTATATTTCCCAAACATTGGACTGTTCCAACTAAATTCAGATTAAGCCCTTTTTCATAATTTAGAAAGCCATTGTAGGTAGGATGCCTAAAAGTTGTACTCAAACTTGAGAAATTTATCATCTCTAAAATATAATGATTTCTTTTAAATAACTTGAGCTCAAAATTTTCTGAGGGGCTTATTAAATTGACTGTTGCGAGTGGGAAGGGTAAATTCTCGATGTACTAATTTTATTTCAATTTAATTAAAATTCCAAGTAGCAGTGATTAACGTCTAACTAATGCAGAAATTTGACAGTTCAGGGTTTATATTATACGAGGTGGCAATTTCAAATAACATTTTTGTCTGTATGCCTAAAAGTCTCCTTTTCTTTTCTTTTATTGCATCATCCGCAAATTGCATAAAAATCAATAATTTGCTTAATAGCACTATGATTTTACAAACCCTAACTAATTACTTTCAAGTTGTCATTCTGCAAGTCAGATGGAGAATTATAAATTGAATTATGAGTTTTTCATATGATCATTCGGTGACGATAACTGTTCTAGGTGAAGTTACTTTATGAGATTATATGAAAAACATAACTAGGGTTCTCTATTCCAGAAAAATTGACTACTAAGCCTAATTGAATGTGGAAAAAAACAATAAAAGAATAGAAATTTGTTCTCAAATACCAGATCACCATACTTGAGAAGTAAAGTAACAGATTGTCAAGGCCAAGTATTTTCCTATATAAAATCCTTTGAACTCTTAAGTTCCGTTAATTTTCATTTAAATCATTCAATTATGTTGAACAGAGAGAAATGCAGTTTTCATGCTCCAGTTTATGGAGGTAAAAACGAGGTAAAATGGAAAATAACAACATCATTCAGCCTCAATTACCACTTTTTTCACTTAAATCTAAAAGAGCGCATTGCCTCAATCAATTTTAGCCTACTAGATAATATGAAAAAGGCTGAATTTTATCAAATAAAATATTTTACTTGCTTAAATTTACACTAAACAACTTAAGTTGGGGCAAAACTAAGTTTGAAAGGGTTTTTTTCAACTCGGGTTTTTATTCAAAATGTTATCACCTTAAGTGTTATTTTCTTTAAAAAATAAAAACAAATTTGATTTTTATTTAATTTGAAGAACAAGTATTGAAAATTGGCAAATGTTATTTCTAGACTAAAACATAGTTGTTCTTTTCAGTTAATGCATTAGGAAAATAAAGATGAAAAGCAGAAAAGAAGAGATGTTACTTTCTGCTTGAAAGTTAAATGCATCTGTCGATGGGCTCTATTTGAACTCACTCCATTTAATTTACTGACGCTGTCATTTTCTTGATATTTCAAGTTGTTTGTTCTTTTCTAATAAGATGAAAGCATTCATTTTAGCTGTCTTAGGAAAAAATAATCAAATTTAATATCATCATTTGGCAATTCTTTAAGATCAATTGGTGGCAGTGGATGCGGTGTTGTAGTTAATTGATCACATCAGTTTGTCAAACAGCGCACATCAAGTCATCATCTGCCTATTTGCCTCAAATAAAAAACTCAACATTTTTTTCGATACTGGCCTAGAGTTTGTAGAATGTTGTTTTAAACTGAAATATTTGAATAGGACACTTATTATAATGAGAGATAACTTTAGAAATTTCCTTTTTGCAATGTTGTGAAAAGGGCTGTGTATAGTTTCATGCCCTCAATAGTTAGATAATGAAATTCAGTAGTGTCACATTCTTCACTTGCTAATTTATCGAAACAATTATAAACTATATAAAAATATTGTAGTCTCGTTCTTACAACTTGGAACATTTTCCTACCCGATTGGAGGTTGCAAATTTTAATTAATTCACTTCTGGTTTGCCGATAAAGTGAGCCAATCAGAGAGCTTTAACATTAAGATCAAAGTAACTTACTAATCCACTTGGACCGTTACGCCAAGGTGGAATAGGCTCGGATCCATTCTCCTGAAATGAAATAAAATTGTATTATAATATTTAAACAACGTTGAAACTATGTTTTATAAGCTTAGAAAATTGTCATAATAATTACACTATTGACTGAAATTGATTGAAGCACCATAAATTGACCGATTTTTTGTCGAAACTTACTGCAAACACGTTTCGCCTTTACGAAAAATGGGACGCTCATTAATAAATACACTTTCATGGAAACGTGCTGCAGAATGTCATCGCAGACTGGCCTGTGACCCTGTGACAAGTTACTCCCTTTCTCTCGCCCTCTACCGCATAATGCCTTATCTGCAAGATGAGCACTTTTTGTGCTTGGAAGAAAGAAGACGCGTAGCCGAAAACTTTTATTCCGGTAGTAATTATCAGAATAGAGAATAGCCAATACTCATGTGCTTAACTCCCGCCTATGATGGGAAAACAGATAACTTTCCATGTCATCACTTCTACATTAAATCCTTTCACTAGCCTTTAATCGCAAATAAATTATTAAACTTATGGCAATAATAACAGGTCTGTGGAGATGCAAATTAGGTTATCCACTTGAGAAAGAACAAATTGCAATCTTCAGAAAGGTAAATTAAGTTTAGACTTAGCTCACCGAGGGCTTCTTCGATTGCACTGAGGGTACTGACACGTTAGGAGTTGGCATCTTGAAAATAAAAGACAAAATTACCTCCAGGTACCCTTTTAAGTTTGATAAACAATTAATTCCGAGATGTAAAAACTTTAAGGAATAATGAAAGCAATGAGCAAATGCCACTCAATATCTCATTCAAAGGCAAAAATATGCGACCTGTGAGCTATTAAATATTCTGATCAACGTCAATTCACCTTTCTCCTAGGCTTCAAACACTTAAGCTCCATACGTATTTTAGTTGTACTATCTAAATACTTCTACACCATTAAATTAATAATAAATCTTTAAAAATGTCTTGCTATCAATTTACCAATTACCATCATTCGTGAAACCCCTGGTAAATTCATTAAGGCAAAATTGCTTTAACAAGTGAAAACTTAAGGCGTGATTGAAATTTCGACACAAATTTTTAACTTTTAAGAAAATTTCACTTTAACTGCAACGATATTTCCTTATTCAATAGTTTTAGCGGAGGCATATTTAAGGATTTCGGTGTGAGATAGACTACCCTTCACGTGGTGCACACTGGGCAACGTGTAATCATACAGCAAAGTCTATAAACCGGCAGTTGACTTCTGATTTCAAACTACCATCACCCCACTGTATGTCATATTCGACCACTTTCCCAGTACTCATCTTAAATTTTCCCTGCCTTTGTGTCTGTGTCTATTAAATCTGTAAAACACACTTCTCTTCTACCTCTCCACTTTTTGTGACTTTGTGAAGCCTGAAGTCAACTAAAGGGCTATTGGTAGCTATCAAAACGCCTGTCATTTGGTATAGATAAACATTTAAGGATTTCAGAGCTGAGGACAAGGTAGCTCTTACGTATGTACGGATGCTAAATTATGATTAAAACTTAATTTCCGTTGATAAAAAGGTACCGGTTTATTTATTTTCTCATTCACAGTAAACTGCCATTCTTTAGGAATTGGGATTTCATTGTAATTATTAAGCCTTGTGTACCTTTCATCCTAGTTTTGCCTGTTGAAAAGTTCTTGAAACTTTGTTAATCATAAAGAAGCTTTAAATGGACAATGATTAAAAAATAGATTTGTCCAGACCTTCAGAAAAGTTATTTCTCGTCTCCTCAACAACAACTTGACCATAGAATCAATGCGAATTAGGTTAACTATACTAGCGGTTCCGTTAATTCAACTTATCAGTAAGTTCTGGATGTTGTTTTTATGAAATCTGAAAATTTGGGGCAGAATATCACACAGTCAATTATATATCTTATGAGAAAATTGAGCCTTCATGTTATTCAGCATTCAAGATTCGCGTGGTTTTTCTTTCTCAAGTTCTAGTATCTGCTTCTATTTGACTCAACCTCCTCACTGCAGCCCTGCGTTCAGATGTCTAGAACCTGGTCAAGTACCTTTGGAGTGTCTTGTACAGTACTGCTGTGTTTTATTTTGTTTATAATAATTTTTCATAACGATTATTGAATCTACAGCTATTTTCATACCTTCAATTCAGCCGCTCACTAGAAGTGTTTGTGCCATTTCATGAGGGTCCACTGTATTAAATCGAACGTTAAATCACGTGTCCTATTTCTCAATATGAGTACAACTAAATCACTTTATAGACCATCATTCAGTCACTTTCTTAGTCTGCTCTATTTGAAAGGTTATACAACTAATTAGACGGTTTGATTTATGTCAATCTTTGCTGTGCCTGTTCTTTAGCATTGAGGGTGGGATTGGATCTTTCATCCGAACTTACAAACTTGTGCCTTTTACGAAAAGCCTGGTAAAAAGAAGCGCCTGGATTCAAATCTATAGACCTTTCAAAAATCGATATTTTCGTCAAAAGTGACGAAGACTCGATTGCTTTAACAGCTGACAGATCGATATCTCTTAATAATGAAGTACTGCTGCCAACAAATTATTTCTAAACTGACAAATTTGAATGCAAGTTGTCTTCTGAACTCAGATGCAGTTACACTGTAAAGTAAGTCAAAATCACTACTTCAAAGTCACTTCCCACTTTCCTTGAAAGCCGACCAAACTAAATGCTCTCAAACATTTCATAAAATTATGTTTTAATAAGAGATAGTAAGTGTTCTTCGTTGAAGCCGATGTACCTCTTGACTATATATATTTAAAGTGACAAATTCCTTTGAGAGGTCCAATTTGATTGGAATATTTTCAACCCACCAACATTCAAATCTTGTTGAAATAAAAATACATTATCACAAAATAAGCAAATCTTTATGATGAAGAAATCTTAAAAGAAATCTTTGTTTTGAAAATAATAAATCTTAAAGACGTTTCAATGCCTTCAGTGATTTTAACGTGACTTCAGTACTCGTTTAAGTTATGGCATCGTTGCGAATTCTTTTGCTGATCAAATACATTTATTAATAATGTCACGGTTTCAATAATATTTGAAATAACTCACAAGGTCGAAAGTTGGTGTTGCGTCGCTCAGTGTCAACGGGGTATAGGGCTGAGCATACTATCAAAAGGAAGGCAGTATTTAGCATAGCCTAAGATGTTATATGTTGCTAATGGTTTTTAGTTAGGGGTTTATTATTAGCTATTTTCAAGTACTCACAAAAACCGGGGGTCGAGGAGTCACCTATTTAAACAAAATATTTTTGTAATTCATTTGATATTAAAAACACTTATAAGATTCAAACTCAAGACATTTTTTATTAACTATCTATTATTGAAAAGAGCAGTCTCATGTAAACAGCCCATCAAAATTTTATTTATTGAAAACTGGGCTCAAATTGACCCCAATCCATAAGGAACCTTCATGTTCTGTGTCTTCTGTGGACTTCATAATATGAACTTACTAATTTTGATTAGAATTTAAAGTAGGGCTATTATTTTCCATAAATTTAAATAAAACTCATGCTTCTATTTGCGCTTCTTCATGATTAAGTTACTTGAATGTTTTGCTTGAATAGCGGTTTTTTGGTCATATTTGTTTTTGGGGCAATGTGGGCAACTTTCTGCACTGATTTCATCTGAAAAAAATAAACAAATTGATTTAAAAGTAATCTTATAATGTAACTTATGACAATATCTTACTCATTTGAATATTTTATTGATTAATCGAAACATGATTGACTTCTCAACTAAGATTATAATCTATCTTGTTATCTTATACCACGATAAGGAAAAATATTCTAAATTTTAACGTGTTTAAATAATTGGCATGGGGTAATTACAGTTTTTCCAGGATTTATGAATACAAACAAACAAATAATAGGCTCTTTTAATTCATTAATCGTTAGCATGATTAGTTTATAAACTGAACTATTGTTTGTATAGTTTATAGCAATACAAAGCATGACGTTAGGTAAAAAACGTTTGAAATTAGGAAATGGTAAGATCCACTATGGATTGATGGAGGGGAGGGGGTTGGAAGATGCAGAGAAATGTTTGGCAAAGGAGCTTCCATTGCAGTTGTGGGTTCACTTTGTTGAATATTTACTTAGTTGATAGTTCATGCCTCACGTTCGGAAATTCAAATTTCACGATATCCCCTTAATAACTGAACAACTAATTCTTTTCGCTTTCCAGTGCCATTTGAACATTTGATCACTCAAAATGATCGATCTTAATATTTAAAATAGTTCTTGTCTTCCAGAGGCAAGAAATTTGCAAAAATTTTGTTTAATTTTAAGCTGCTCGCAAGGTCTTGTTAAAGAAAAATTTGCATGATATTGACTTTCTTAAACTGGTCTGAATAACAAGCCGTCATAACCGCCTTTAATGAAATAATTTCCAAAGAACTCCTTTAACACATTCTCTCAGTTAGTCATTGAGCGTGTCACGCTTCTGCTGACAGCGACATTTCATATGTCATTCGAGAATTCGCTTATAACCGGCATCATCGTCAAGTTGTGCAGATATGACTCAGATAATTAAATTGCCAAATGCATGAAGACTTAAATGTCATATAAAGCTTACCGATTCTTTCGCAATTCCGTTTCGTTGTTCGTTTGAGGCATTTTTCATGTTGAGTGCCATTGAGCTCAGTTTTTGTTGCTAAGAAAATCAATAGAAAATGGGTGAATCGAACTTATTTACTGCAGTAAACGCATTGTGGGTGCTTTCAAGAAATTTACACTGTGAAACACTAAAATGAGGAGGAATATGAAAAACTTGCATTCTCGGATCCCATTTTATGGTTTAGAGGATCATTTCTAATATCGAATTTTTTTAGTTACAACAGGTGCAATGTCAACTTCCTGCAGTTAAAAATTCTAGAACCTTCTCCGGATTAAGATGTTTGGGAGGGGAGGGGAGTATTCACACCTGTGTAAGTTTTAAAAAATGATCAAGGCTAAACACCATTGCGTTAAGTGCAGATTATTTTTTTAAATTGTGCAATTAAAGGCAGACACTCAGTCAAACCCAGATTGGAAGGCGATGTCATGTGCATAACGAGGATTTACAGTGCGTTACTTAAGTTGGGAATTTTAGCCTACTTTTGAATCGGATTTATTCATGTCTATTTGGAATGGTTTCTGTGGCATTTCGTTGAGACTACCTCCAATGCCTTGCTTGATATCTTTCGCCTAGTAATAAGGTCATCAAATAATAAATTTGCATTTATTAGATTTTTGAATTAGAATTTATATATTGAATGAATAGTAGCTACATGTCCTTAGATAATTTGCATATTTTCTGACAACAAAATATAATTCAATCTTTAATTTGAATACTTTATGTTTTTGCTTAATTTTCACATGGTAATGCAATAATAAGATTAATTAGCTAATAAGAAAAACATAATTCGTAGGACTTGTGCCTCATCTTTATTAATTGGCACAAGTCATCACAAATGCGTGCGCCACATCTCCTGGCAGTGCTTTTGAGAAAACAAACGGGTGTACTCACCGTTTCTTCCTCAAGTTGTAGAGCGAGTTCGCAGACATTTATGGCCTTGTCCATGCTTTCAAAGACCTTTTGAGCATTTGAGCCCACTTCCCTGTACTCGGAGGGCTTGTCTGCCAGATGCTCAAATAAATCGTGCCAGAACGCTTGCGAATTCGCTACCATGTGCTTGATTTCATCTGTTCGTTGCTGGGCCTCCTGTTGTATTGAGAAAATAAAATGAGATCATTAAGAGGAGGCTCAGGGAAAACAATTTTGGCCATTTCTTAAGTAAAATGCCAATGAGGCTTTGTCATTTTGCTGTTTAAACTACTAATGATTTGATAGTAAAACATTTCTATCTTAACTTCTTACTGCAAATCCTTAACTTAATAACTATTTTGTTAATTTAGCAGTAGGTATGGATAAGTTTGAACATTTGTGTTTGACCAAACGAATGGCAGTGCTTGAAGTTAGATGAGCTCCAGTGAACTCAGGGGCATTAAAAATACTCTATAGGTATTATCATATTACAATTATACTCAGCATTTCAATATGGAAACGCGAAAGATACAAATGCCACCACTACCAGAGCCTTGAAATTGGTCCATTTGGAAGTACGCCTTCCATGTCTGCTACTGGACGAGTACAAGTATTACCACTTGCCTTGGTAGCTAAGTCCTCAAAATCGCTCTAAATAAACTTCTTCACTTCAAGCGAATTCTCTTAAGGGCAAAAAACATTTCAGGATAACTCAAAACGCATCTTAACCTTTTTGCAAAAATTGGGTTCAGGACAAATACCACTCTAACTATCTTACATATTTATTTATTTATTTCAAATGGCCGGCATTTCGATAGTTATCATTAGCCCTTTAGCCGACTTCGGACTTCACTGAGTGAGAGGAGGAGGAAAATCAAAGTGACAAAAATTCTAGAGGACAGAAGAGGGATTTGCAGATGTAAAAGGGACAGACAGACACAAAGGCAGAGAATATGTAAGGTGAGTACTGTTGAAGTGGCCAAATATGACATACACTAGGGTCATGGTAGCTTCAAGTCAGAAGTCAATTGCCGTTTAATAGACTTTTTTGCCGTATGAGTATACGTTGCCCAGGGTGCACCACGTGGAGGTAGGTCTATCACACACCCCCTCTTAAATATTATTTTGGAAGCTATGTATTTCATATCAACATTTTATCGTCACTACGATCTTCTATTTAAAATGAATAAATTTCCAAAAGGGTAACTATAAAATCCCATGATAAGTGTTGGATTTTATTTGCAAAACAAAATTGACCTTATTGGTATCGATTTTTTCTTCTGTTTTGTTGTTTCCAACGCATTTACTACTTAAAATTAAAGTTAACCAAAAAGAAATTTTGATTTGGATAGACCCGGATAAGTCGCCTTGGCATGACTGAAAAATTATTAACCTATGTTATCATGAGAAAAGGGGTTATAACTCCAAGATCTGAGCTTAAAGCCGATATTGCTGAATTAATTTAGCAGAAGTTAGAAAGCTTGCATTGCAAGTATAGTAATCAGGTGATATCGTGTTTTGCAAGATTAACAGGGTACGAATGTCATAAGTGCTCAAATGGGCAATAGTATGGGCATTAGAAATTCAATAAACAATTCTAATTATTTCGCGTTTTTTGCATCACTTTAGAAACGCCAGTTATCATGTCTTCAATTTAAAGGCAAATATTATAATTCAATTTTCAAGTTTTCATTTATGAATCATATTAATTCTATTAGTAATCTATTTGATATTGTGATTGCACCAAACTTGTCAGTGGAAATGTGCCTTAATTTTAAGGGCACTTGAAGTGCTCTAAGAAAATTGGAAATATCTGAGTAATAATCGTTCCTCTTTTTTACACTTTTAAGATAGTTTGAATAGGGTTGCCGACCTTTTAAAAGGAAAATTGACACAAGCAAAAGGTTAAATAGTTAAATTTAAATGATTGTAATACGCATCTCTATAATTAATTTATATATCCTTTGATCTTAATCAAAACCTTGAGAAAACAACAATTAATGAAAATACTCTAATTTAAAGTATCATCTGACATCTCAGCTCCTAATTGAGTTTTATTTTTAATGATTTAAATGCTGCCTAAGTGGTGTTAAGGGTAACTTGAAGTATTTCTCGAGACTTGGGTTATAAGTGCAAAAAAGTAGCCTTTGAGAAGTTGCGAAATTAATTTTCGTTCTGTAGATTCAATATACCGACGATGAAATCAAGCAAGATTCGCAATTTTTTAAATGTCCATACAAGTCTGATTTTTCTGCTTATGAATGCAAGGAAAAATGCAAGGGAATTAATGAGGCATGGTTGACCATTCAGTCATGTCTATTAGTACACAATTTCTGAATATAGTGGACCTGAACTCACCCTGAAATCAAAGGAACCCATATTTAAAATTGAGCCCTGAGCATTGAGAAATGGTCAAGTGACTCACACCCGTATGAGAACTCAATGCTTACGAATTGAAAGTACTCCCGGTGTAATTTTAACCTACTTCCATACACCAATTTCACCTACTTTTCGTCGCACCCTTGACTACTTTACCTTCTCGTATGTTTTGATGCAATTTCTGGATTTGAAGTTGCAGGACAGTTTGAAACTGATCCAGTTCGGATCAAATCGAAAAATCAAGCTTAGATATTGTGACAAAAGAAAACGCTGTCAAATTGCATCTACCTCCAACGCAATTTTGCTTCTGTTATGAAGAAAGTCTTTCATTCAAAAGATATATGTATATATAAATTCGGAAATCGAATTTGGTGAAATCTTTCCTAAATTCAAAGGTGAAGATATTGGAAAAGGTATACTTTCGAGGATGAAAATCTCTTTTTTTTCTAGCTTTCCATCCAAGGAATGTAAATAAGCAACAAATATTTACCTAATCCCTTAACGAGAAAGAAAACGAACTTTTTAGTGAATGATTTTGATGCGGAGTTCCTTTTAGCAGCAATACTAAACTGTCAAAAAAGCAATAGAAAAAAAACAATATATGAAAACAATTTTAATCAGATTCATTTTATTTATTCAATTGAAATCCTATACGTTTCATCGATAAAATGTGTCAAGTACTTTAGATGTCCCTTTAAGGTGTAGGTTCTCTGAATCTCTAAGGGCTTTTTATGATGTATTTGAAATATACACCGTACATCGAAGTTGGATTAATCATATTAACGCTCCCAGATCAAATATAGGTCTTTGGTTATTTACATAATTATACATTTTCTCCTTAAAGGGCTTTTATTCAAGATAGATACTCGTATTAAATAAAATGGTGGAACAAATTGCTTGATATGTCAGTCAAGCAAAAAATTTATTCGCATAGACGACAACTTACTTTGAAACGTTTCTGAATGACTCCGTCCATTTTTAGTCCTTTATTCTTCTCATCTGAGGCCATCTTGAAAAAGGACTGCAACTCAGCATAAAGTCGTTTATTTTCATTGCTTATTTCTATAAATACTTCTTGAAGGTTGTATAAAGTATCTTCAATTGGGCTTCCAAACTAAAATATGAAACTTGTACACCTCCCAAACAGATATTTATTTTTTTAAAAAAAAATAAAACGTACGACATCTTTGTCTGGAAGCCAGTGGGAATAAAGCAAGTTGTCCATATTGGCAGTCATGTTAATTCTTTTGAGACGTCCATAAACGTACTCAAAATTGTTTGTAGAAAATCTATCTTTGTAAGCGATGGCCCAGGTCTGGAATTATAAATGGTTAAGATATACAAAAATATTTCAGAATAGTTAATTATGTTAAACTAACCCTCAAAAGACTATTAATTTTCATCTGAATTTGAGTTGAAACAGCTTTAGATTTTTCAGGAATTAAGAAAAAATGAAGCAGCTCGTTCAGTTGATCCTGACTATTTAAAGACAGAGCAAAGTTTTCACCTCCGTGCAGTGTGCACATTTGCAATAAGTCCAAACTCCAGAGACCTATTTTATAGTTTTCAAGAGCTGTGTTACGGACACGATTAATAATTTGTCTAGAGGCAGTGCGGGCAGCAGTAACATCTTGAATAATAATGTTTCGAACTTTAGTAAAAGCCAAAAGACGATTTTTGCAATCAATGCTTGTTGCATGTACTAAAAGAGAAATATTTATTGCAATAAATCGGGAAAGTAAAATTTCATTTAAAATTCCATAACAAATAATTTATTTTTTCTACTTACAAAGTTCATTTCTATGATACTAATTAGTTGACAAATTAAAATTTAAATAAAAATTTATTTATGCAACAAGTTACCAATGCTATCAAAAATATCCTTATAGCGGGCCATCTTACTGAAAAGTATAATTTTGAAAAGGTGAAGGAGTGGGGCAAGGGTATTTGGAAGTATCAAAACAAATATCCTTACCGTGCTAACTTAATAACGGTATAATATTTCAGTTCACAATGACTCATGAGCGATTAGAAATAAGACCCATTTTAAATAAATATATTTCGCATAGATTAATGGGCGTGAATTTGGATACTTTCAGGAAATCAAATTTAATTATTCATGCGCAAGCTGAAAATAACCGAAATAGTTTAAAAAATTGATCCCATTTATTTATGGAATATTAAATTTATAAACATTCCTTTGGTTACAATATAAATTAATTAAATTCAAGTCATCTAACATCACATTTATTCAATGCCGTTTTATACAGTATGAACAAAGGGTATGATTTTTGGGAATAAAAAAATGTAATAAAATCTCATATTCAATAAGATATAAATGAGCCGTCTTCTAGTAAATGCCATAACTCTACCGAACATATAAAATGCTTGAAAATTCAAATTTCAAAAGCGTACGAAAGAAATTTATTGAACCAATTTAGGTAGTTAATTTTACGAAGCGTTCTGAAAAGCAAACAATATCAATACTTGTTGATGTACGTGTTACTACGATATCTGAAATTATTAGATAGTATAAATTAAGTTGCTATTTGCATAATTATATACTATGCGTCGGATAAATGTTATAAAACATTCGAAACACCTGTCAAAGTATTAATGAGATGTTGCAAGCTTCCTCGTAAAAGACAAGAATTGCAGCTTTTTGATTGATCGCCCTAACTTCTATTCATAAATTGTCTTAAGTAGGTTTCTGAGTCGAGTGTTTGGAAGACATTGAAGTACTAAAATCAGACAAAAAGGCAAAAAGTGTGAATCTAAAAATTTTCAATCTAATATGACATAAATTAAAGGAAGACCGACGAATCATAGCGATCCTAAATTGTTTCAATAATAGCTTGCAAATAAGTATGCAAATGGCTTAAATGGGAAGCCATAAAATGTTATGACGCAAATGCAAAGAGAGATAACAAATAATAGATGATAGACCTTAATGTTTAAAAAGGTAATCCATAAGAATGCAAATTAATAGTAATGAACGAAGATGAAATTTCAATTAAAAAGGAAATTAATCATCGGTTTTGAAATTATTCCATATACATTTTGAAAGATTAAATTATCCGAATTCTAGAAAATATTCTAGTAAAATTTTAGTGATAAATAATGTTTTGTGGAAATGATAATATGTTATAAAGTCAATAGGTACATATATTTAGACAAATAATAATTCTGATTTAAATATGTTTCTTGAGATTGTTTAAATTTTTTTATGTAACTTTGCCACTTTCAATTAAATCCATCACTCTTTTTTGGTTCGTTTAGCTATTTTTGTGTTTGGAACTCGGTATACCTGGCATTAATCGTTTTGCGTCCATTTTTATACTTTTTTAATGTCTAATATCAGACGTAGGAAATTTTGGTTATTTTATTTCTATTTGCTTAATGTCTTGAATATGGCCTATAATTGATTTTAGAGATGCCTAAGGGTAAATGCAATACTACTCATAAAGTTCGCACAAAGGGCAACTTTAAACCCTCAAATAGTGATCGCGCTTCAGAGTTTCTGCAGCGAAATATCTTATCTGGCTCGGGTTCCGGACTCCTTGTGTCACTCTCAACCTACGATGCTGCCTCAACTTTGGCACTTACATCAGCTTCTCAGAGTGCGTTTTCCACTCTACTTCCCCTCGATCAGGATCCAGTTGCATTAACAATAGATTCTGATTTCTTAAATGTTCTCCGTAAGTTGGAGAAGCGCAGCGGTGCTACTAAACAAAAAGCTCTTGACACTCTAATCGATCTTTTACGTTCAAAAGCCGATGATGTACATTTTGTAAAATCGGAGGATGTTATATCAGCTTCAGTTCTCCCTTTCTGGCCTCGTCTTTTCAACGATCTTGCCTGTGATGAAGATCGACGAGTCCGTGAGCTTAGTCAGATTGCTATGCATTCAATAGCCAAACGACTTGGACGTAAGATTAGTCCCTGCCTCAAGGAGATTGTAATTACCTGGACTTTTGCAACAGTTGACCTCTATGATAATATTTCTAGGGCTGCTATAGCAGGTTTATCTGATACTTTCCCTGGAGATAAGATAGGTGAACTCTATCGCAGGTTTGCAAAGTATTTGCTAGATGAATGCGATCGAAAAATCAACTATCTAGATTCCGAACTTCCACTCCATTTAAAATTCAAGAAAAATCAAAAACTTAATGGCCATCTTCCTCCGGACGCCCACCACCATCTCAACATTTCTACTCAATTTCTCTCCTGGGTAGCGTCATTTCTTCCTCACCTGTGTAAATTGCCCGAGGATGACCTTCTTTTAGTCCGTTTTCGTGATGTTCTCCTACGCATTTGGCCCCCTATTACCCCAATTTTGGAAAAAGTGAAATTCGCTCCCTTACGTTCCTCCTACTACAACCTAATGTCTACAATGTGTTTGAATATGACTGAGTGGATTATTAGCTCCCCTGATTTGCTCAATTTTGTTTTGGAAAAGTGTCTCCAAGGGGAGGATGTTTGCTTAGAGAGTCTTGGTGCTTTTAGCACCTGTTTATCGGTTTTCAGGAAAGAGGTTTGGACTTGGATATCGTGGAAGGAATTGGTTAACACGACTCTTATTCCGATGATTGAGCAGGTTCAAACAAAGGCTCAAAGAACGGTAATATTAGTATTTTCTTATATTTTAAGCCTTCTCTTCGTGGTCATATGCCTAGTCAGGTGTCATGAGATGAGCAGGGATGGTATTGAATATGTTGCTAATCATTTTTACTGCACTACTCATGAAATTCCATCAGTATTCCAACTCAGTATTTATTGGCTAATATTGCGCATTTTTGCCTCTTTCGGTTCTCAATTCATCTGTATTTAAAATACATTTTCCTTCTAAAGTTCTAGAAAATGTCATTATTTGCTTGAATTATTGGTGGTGTAATAGTTTTAACAAGCTGTTATTCCAATAACCTATTGAAAGAAATTAGGTTTCCATTGAAATATGGTCATCCCATAGCTGACTCGTTCAATTTAGTGCGTTTGACCCTCATATCTTCCTTCTTTAACTGAGTTCCTTTAGATATCCAGAGTTTCTTGATTTTTTCCTTTGTTTTTTACTATGCTTCCACCCTGTTAACTACCGTGAGCGTGAGCTTCTTTGTGTAAATCTATTTTTCCTTATAATTTAGACATTCAGAATATTTCCTGATCAGAATACTGGCACATTAGCCTTATGTGGCTCATATAAAGATGGTCTTTTAAGAATTTCGCAAATAATTTTTACTTACTATTAATAAGTAACGTTATTTTTCTCCCTTCAGGTTTTGTATTTGAACCTGCTACCTCTTGTAAGCCATTTACCCATTGAGAACATCTTAGCCGAGGATGCAGATTTGATGAAGCGATTTCTGGTTGCATCTCGTGAAGGTCTACTTCGTTCCCTCAACATTCCAGTTGACGCTGATTTGCACGATTGCGAGGCCGTATCATGCTTACAAGATCATGGTTCTTCAATTGAATGTCTAAAGGGTCTCTTTGAAGTTTCTCGCTTCCTGCTTGACTGTGCCGCCTTGTCTTCCAATGAGGATTTAACCGAATACCTCTGCAATCGGGTTTTCCTCGACTTTATGTTCTTTGCCCTCACATTTTCTGTCAACAAATCTTCAGCTTTTAAGAGATGGATGTACCGAGAAAAGTTTTCGGATACCCTCTTTAAGCAGGTAATGCATATCAAAGGCTAAATATCTTTAATTTTTCAATTTATTTCTATTTTAGATTTCTTGTACTTTGGGTCACTTGGTACGGGATTCTAGGTCACAGCTTCAGGATGTCTTCGCTAATCTAAAGGATTCAATCACTGAGTTACTGAAGTCGACTATCTTAGAGTCTGTGGAGTTTCCTCTTCAATCCATTTCTCAATTTCTTTGGCATATTTCCGAAACTGGCACTCACGAATTATGGTGTCAGACATGGTTAAGCGAGTTGCTAACCTTCATTCGACCAGATTCTTCAGATTTTCCTCACCGTTGGCTATTAACTTTCATTCTAATCGGAAGAATTGAGTCGTCATTGGATGTGGAAAATTCTCTGGATTTATTAATTTCCGCCATAATTCCGGCATTTGAAGGTGAAGATTTTATTTGGTCAGATAGTATGAATAAAGGGCTTGCGAAATGCTCTCTTGAACCCTTTTCTGTCAAAAATTGGCACTTGGTTAGTTCACAAACACGTCGCCGATTTATAGCTGGACCCCTCAGAAAACTTGCTCTCTGTGTAAATTATGAGAAAATAGCTCCTTTGTTGCAGTTCTTTGTGAATCTACTAATAAATGACCTTGATGGTTACACAACTGAGGTACAAGAATTCGCAAGTCTTATGTTTGAGGATCCCCTACCTTATGATGAAGCTCGTGAGTTGATACTTCAATCGCTCTGCAAGATGATTTCTGATCGGGAACGTGTTTCTGAGGGTGCTTATACAACTCTCTCATTAATGGTCAATCTTGTTATTTCTTGTGATAAATTAAGTCTTACTAGTTCTTCTGAACTTATTAACCAATATGTAAGGCTTTCACTCGAAGAACTCTGGAATACTAGACACTCAAAAGATGAACCGTCTCATAGTGGTGAGCAAACCGTGGCATATTTGAATACACTGGAAGAATCGCAAGCAAAATTGTTCTCTCAAAAAATATGGCTTGATGTTTTGGGTAAAATAAAGTCAAATGGTTGCCCGAAAGATTCAGGAGCTATCTTGAACCTTCTTTCTCAGCTTACAATCTGTACTGATACAAGCCAAGAAGTGTGGTTAAATGAAGTTGTTTCTTCTGTAACGCAACTCGCTACCGAAATAGAGGCCTTATCCCAGGAACTCCCTATTTTTGTAAGAACAGAGGTCTTTCCTATTCATCTTTTGCCTCGAATCGCACCTATAATTGTACAATTACAGCTTGGTTTAAAGTTGAACTTACACAAGTCTTTCAAACCACATGAAGTTCCGCATAAGCGGTTGGCCAGTGCACTCCTAACGCTCCACTTCTGGCTGTCAACCGGTACCATTGAACCCTTCATTCTGAGTGATATTTCTTCCAATTCAATCTTTATACCAACTAAAGAGGATGAATTTCCATCCATAAATAATCTTCTGAGCTATCTAGATGGAATGTGTAGCGAAGTTGTTGATGCTGTCTACACCCTCGAACACTTCCCCACTTCTAATTGTGCCTTACGGGCAGCCCTAGCGAGACGTCTAGTTGGAATTCATCCGCAAAAATGGCCGCTGGATATCAAGGAAGCGGCTACTTGTTCCCCTCCCCAAACGTGGATGAAAGATCAGGTTACTGACAGCTCCTTAGAGACTTTTATGAAACTCTGTGAAGTTTGTATTCCTGTTGGTATTCTCAGACGTTGTCTACCTCGAAGTGTTGTAATCACTCATGTTCAGGAATTCTCTTCTAGGGAGAATCTCAGCATCAGTGAGCTTACAAGACTCCTTGAATTGATTGCCTCTCTTTCTTCTGTAGTGTTTGTTGGTAGTTGCTATTCTTTCTCTCTCTCTCCAATTGCACTGGAAGATATTCGAGATCCGTTAGTCGAAGTTGAGGATGAACAGATCCTTTCTAGTGATCGTCTTCGAGCAATTGTTGCGTCCATGAAGACTCTCCAAACACTTGTGCTTCTGAGGCAGCCCGTTAGATCCATAGAGAATGCTTTCCCTGGCCTAGGTCTCGCTTCCCTTTCAATCTGGCTTCGAAAGACTAAACCGAGGCTGACTGGACACCAGTGGGACTCTCTTCTATGTCTTGTTGCCAGCTGGGTTGTACAAGCAGTAGTTAGGCCCGTTAAACCTACTGCATTTCCGGTTCATACCTTCCGTTTAGTTGCGGCGATCGGTTCTCTGTTTGTGAATTCAGTCTGCGCCAGTTCAACCATTTCCTCGGCATTAATAAGAAAGGAAACTGCTTCGGTGAAATCAGTAGATGAATTGATGAAAATGAACAGTGACGAATGGGACGAAACTGACTTTGATTTTGCTGAAGACTATGACTGTGAGGACGATGGAAGTGTTGTTTCCTCTGAAGTCTTGAACCTGCTAGACGATGATTTCACTGATGTTGATGATGAGGAAATCCGATTCGATGATCCAAATGCTCTTAGAAGACTTCCCCCACCTGCTAATGTTCAACGGGACTGGCAAGAATTTTTTGCTCACGAAATATTCCGTTCCCTCATCTGTCTCTCCACGGAGATGTGTCTTTATGAAGATGGAAATAAGAGGGTTCCAGTCTTGAAGGATACTCCACCACAATTGGCTTCTCTTTGCGCTGCTATGGCAACTTGTTCCGTTGATACTTTTCTCACTGTTCTTCAAAAGCAATCTGATATTGTTGTGGCCTATCTATTGGATAATCGTTTATCCTCCAATTGCCTTCATTCTCCAATGGTCAAGTATAACCTCTTTTCTACAGAGTGTTTTATGGCACCTCTTATGCAAAATTCCCTAGATTTAACTCTTCGTTTTATCTCAACTTCATCTTATCAGTCTGGTCAGTTATTGGGTCACATTCTCCTATCCCGATTGGTTTCTTCAAGGTCACTTCAACCAGTTCGACGAATGAGTGATGTTCTGATCCCTCATTTACCTCGTACTTGGGTGATTGCACTAACTACCCGACTAACTGACAAATTGGAAGGTATTCTCGGGGATCCTGACACCGTAGTTTCTCAATGGGGTCGGGGAATGTTTAGCATTGAAGAACTACTTGGAGAGGATATTATGGATGGTCATCAACGGCTTTTGTCATACCTCCTTGCATGGGATGGCATTGTCAGCCTTTTGAGCTCAGCCTCTCAACAAAGTCGAGCCTGTTTCCAAGCTGCTCTGCTTACAGATGATGATTGGATTGAGCAGCTTTGTCGATTGATCCTAACTCTGGGCCTTCTTTTACCTAAGCAAGCAGAAATTCAGGGCCTGTTAAACACTCCCTGTCGACTTGAGCCTGATGTGCGACTATTGTTAACTTCTTCTGCTCGTGCTGCACTGAATAGCAAAATGATAAGTACCAGAGAAGTTGATTTTGTATTTGCTCCATTGGACGGACTTGTTCATCTGCCTGGTCATCGATTAACTGGAGATTTGAGACACTTAGCAGTGTGGCTTTTGAGGAGGTTGCTTTCTGAGTCACCGGCTCTAATGCGATCACTATACGCTGAGATGCAACGCGGTGCAAAAGTAGGAAAGAACTTCACACCTGGACAGGCGCGACAGTTATCAAGTCGTCTGGAGCAGGTTGTGAGGTCCCATTTCTCCTGCCGATTGATCACTGATGAGGTGGAGGCGATTGATCGTCGAGCTAATGAGTTTAAACGACGTCTGGGAGCTGCTCCTTACTTGAATGACGCGCTACCAGATGCTGGAAGTATCGATATCAAAGGAAGACCACTTTCTCGGGAGGTAAGTATTCTCCAATTTTCCATATTCATTTGATTTATTTCTTATAACTGGCCAATAAAAGAAGCTTTAGGCCTTTTTATTAATGAGAAGGTGTAAGTTCCTATTTTTATCATCCATTGTTGGCTTAGGTTAAATGTAGGTGTTTAGTCGATTAATCGTATGATAATCTTCTTAGAGTAACTGCACAGGCGTACGTCTAGACTGTTTCTTCTCATGTCCATTAAGCGATAAAGTGCTAATACATGAGCCATTCGCGTGCTCAAGATCGTTCGAATTTAAAAAAACGCAATAGTCTGACTTTCAACTGAGCTGCCATATAAAGGCCTTAAAGTTATTACTTCATTCGATTCTGTTGTAACCTTTTGGAATATTTTGGGATATTTTAGTGCAGTTGGTATTTTCAGGTCAGCTCTATTATACATAGCTTAGATGGGTTTGCACAAATAGGAAGTTATTCAAAGACATTTCTTAGGTCAACAAACTTGGAGAACCGTTCCTTGTGTTCAGAATGGTTAGACCGATCTTAGATCGAGCAATAGTCATCGTGTCTCCAGTTATACTCCCAGCGAGGCAACTTCCGGCACCCGGCCTGCGAGTGGCTGGATTGCAGTCATACACCACCACTTATTTAAACAAAGACATTTCAATTAGTTTGATTTATATTGACCTATTTTTAGATCACTACCACCTATCACTTTTCATCGGATCAGTCGCTCGAAATGATTATCACTTTACCGGAGAACTTTCCCCTTTCACCTGTTAATGTGGCAACTGGTAGTCGAACTGGAACTTTTATGTCAAATTGGCGGGCATATATTGTTCTCCTATCTGTCTTTATTAATAATCAGGTAAGCCGGAAATTTTATCTATTTGTTGTGATAATAGGCCTACTTGTATTGGCGTTACTTTATATTGTTCTATTATGAAAATTTTGATATTCAAGTTCAGGATGCAGAAATTGATTACCGCTACCGAGTATTCAACAGTCTGACTAGTTTTAGAATTCAGCGGCTTATTGATTAGGACAATTAGAGCAGCTTCAAGGAAGCTCGATAAACTGCCACCATCCTTACTTATCTCGGACTTTTTGTTCAAGAAAGATGGAAAGAAGGCGGATATTACGTGGATTCTTTAATTGGGGTATCTCCAGAATTATGTATGAAATTTCGGGCACCCCATACAGAGCACACCTCCGGATCTCATAATACTGGTACATAAATGACGTAAAATTGGTGACAAGGGCGTTATGAGTACTGGAGGGTTTGAATCATGTGGTGATATTTCCCTTCATTCCTGCATTTTGAGATAAGCGTGATTTAATGAAGCAAGGGCAGTAGGGGCTTTATTTAATATCGGGAAGATTGATAATTCAGTTTCGACTACCTAAACGCTTTGAATATCAATTGTCATGATTTGATCTACGGAAATCTGCGTTGAGTGGGAGGGGAGGGGGATACCTGTTCGCAATATTCCCATCGTTCCAATTTTAGTAAAAAGACTATAAACCGACAGTTGACTTCTCACTTCAAACTACCACAATCCCTCTCTATGTCATATTCCACCACTTCCACAGTACACAGCTCACCTTTTTCTTTAACTTTGTGTCATGAATAATAAAAATTCGCATCCTTGAGTAGTTGATGCAATTGGTTCATTTATGTTTCCTCACAGTCGTGAGCAAGAATGCGCTAAAATAAACACGTCGCTTTTGTTCCTCTTTTTAGAACGGATCAGTTCTTGAGGGGATAGGCCTATGGCTGAGGAACTTGAAGAAGAAGTTTGAGGGCGTTGAAGAGTGTCCAATTTGCTATTCAGTAATTCACGATCGGGACTTTTCCTTTCCAAAAATGCAGTGCCGTGTTTGCAAGAAGAAATTTCACAGCAATTGCATGTACCGTTACTTCCAGACCAGTCACAATCCCACCTGTCCCCTCTGCAGAAGCCTCTTTTACACTACCAGAAGTTAATTTGGTCTTTCAATTCTCCACGCCACCCCACCGCACCCCCCTCCTGTAATACTAAAATTATCTCTTTGTATTTTGTATTGATCATCCGCTTGCGCCAATAAAGACCATTTTTGTGTTGCTATACACCGTTTCCTATACCTTAAATGACCTAGGAGTTTGTGAGTAATAGGGATTTTTTGGTGTCTGTTTGGTATAAATGGGGAATAGGTTTGAAGGTGTTTCTGCCTATCGTTTGCATAGGGAAATTTGCACAGATATGTACTGTCCCGCTCAATACCGGTTACTTCATCAAAGAAATAAGATACGCAAGCAGTAACAATCCAAGACTGCTTAACAATCTTGGCGTTACTACTATTCTATCTTTTGTCTATCTCGATTTAACTAACAATCCTTGAAGACTGGAACTTCATATTTTGATCACACGTTTAAGATACCCCAAAGACGGAAAAGTTGACATCAAAGTAGATAGCAGAGACATGGGCACGGAAGTTTGACGTAGTGTAGAACGATGAGACCATGAAATCTGGCGAATAGCAAGACACGCGCCAAACGGAGCAGGCGAGACAAAAGGCCAAGTGTTAAAATTGAGAAGGAAGGAGAACCCACATCTTGATCTAAAAGTATCGATTCATATGATAGCTATAACTTCACCATCATTCTCTCTTTGGATCCTTCCGTTCAGGGTTCAAGTTTAGACTGAAGAATGTGATGCTCTTTGATCAATTGTATAACCCTGCATTTTAAGTCGCGTTGTTTATAATCCTGCTAAGCAAATGAAGTATTTGCTTATTAGAGAATTGGAACATTGAAAAAATGCAACTTTTGAAAATTGCTTTTTGATGCTGTTCCTACTTTCATAGGGGAGAAATCTCATCATGATAGTTTATTTAAGATTAATATAGGGGTGTGTGATAGACATACCTCCACCTGGTGCACCCTGGGCAACGTATATTCATACGGCAAAAAAGTCTATGAACCGGCAGTTGACTTCTGTCTTCAAATTACCATGACCCCACTCTATGCCATATTCGACTACTTTCACAGTACTCACCTCACCTTTGTTCTACCTTTGTGTTTGTCTTTTACATCTTTGAAACACTCTTCTGATCCCCCCCCTCTCGACTTTTTTTCAATTTGATGTTCTTTCCCCTCTATGAAGCCTGAAGTCAACTAAAGGGCTAATGATAACCATCAAGACGTCTGCCATTTTATATAAATAAAGATTAATATATGTCATCACCAATGGAATTGAAGGCGCTTTCACAGTAATTTTTACATTCTTCTTTTCTTTTATTCAGCTAAACGAAGGAAGGATCTGAACTCGACTCTCTTGTCCCATCCTTCTTACCACCTGTATTCATGGGAAACATTATAACTCTGCTGTTGGTACCTCTCTTCTATGGTTGCAATACGTGATATGATCTAGTAAAAAAGCTCTCTCTCTGCGCCAGTAAGTTGCACTTCATTCTCGAAGCCGGATAATAGAAGTGGGAAATGTGTTCCGCTATTACCTAATCTTGCTTCAGCAATTTGACCTCTTATTCCGTTGACGAGTGTGTTAATCATGCACCAACCACCCCTCTGATACAAGGAAGTGGCAAGCTGAAACACAGTCCTGCTCTGTGATTCTTCCACATTGCTGCCGCATTGAGACTAGTGTTTGAAAATCATTACAACCACCTTGACCACTAAACGTGGAATTTAAGGAAAAGGGGGAGGGACGTCTCATCGGATTCATTATTTTTCCATTTTTCATTTTGCACATGTAAGATAAGTACGTGCAACCGATTCTTTGAGGAGACTTACAAGGAATTTCATGTCTCCATTCGTGAAGTCATTCTGATACGGTAGCTTTAAGCACTTCTGTCTTTTATCGGATTCAAAGAAATCGAGAGTTTGCCGTTGGGAGTAAAAAATATAGCACAAGAGAGAGCAGAACTTGTGTATTCGTAAAAAAATGACAGGAGTGATGAGAAGAAAGCAAAAGTTTCACACTTCCAAAAATTTTTCAAGTCGATTGATAAAGATGGCGGTGCAGATAGGGACCTCTGTGCAAGCTTCCCTCCTAGTTCACGGTGGGGACAGCAGAGGTTGAGAGAGCGCGTTAAAAAGCTTTGCGATATTAGGTTACGTGTGAACCATGTTACCTACTGCATAATCGAGTGGTTAAGTAGCGAATGACTCAGAGTTGGCAACGATTGGTCTGTCGTGACACGCGCTTAAGGTCTCTAGTCAGACTCAAGCAAATTTCATGTGCGTTACACTAAAGTGACGCAAGCAATACCCAGGCCTTAGAAACCGAAAATTGCATGCGATTTCACCAACAGAAAGCACCGAACAAATTGGAGTCGGAATTCGATAAAGTGAGGATTATACATCATAGTTATTAATCGCATAATTGCAGAACCAAAGCCTATATCCATGAACAAATCTTCACTGGATGAGTGGGTGTCCGCTACAAAAATAACTTTTGAAATCTTGTCTTCCAGGTATGGGTGGCTCTAATTCTGCTCATGGAAAGACTTATTTAAGATTTCTTCGAATGTTATTCGGGTGGTTGGTGCTTAATTGGCTTAATTGCTTAGAGGCTAAAGCTTACAATTTTGCGCGCAAAAGAGGACTTCCATGCGCACCCTCAGTGACATCGATTTCCTTGGGAATGAAAGCGAGATGAGAAGGCACTGGGCAATCAAGCGCCCGCGAACCCAAAGATCACCTACCAATCGGTTAACTCCTAAATTCATTAGTTTAGAAAAGGTTAGCTATGAAGTCACATGGCGATTACTTTCCCTCTCATGGTGCCCTTGAATGTTTATTGGAGGCCTTTATGTCCTCCTACTCAATTCTACCACAACACCCGCCCTATTAGATCAGCTCAAATATTCTTGTTACGCTCCGCTTCCTATGGCAGTTATAATTTTACGATTTAAAGATGTCTATTGTAAAAAGAGCATTCATCCTAGCCAGTATTCCTCTTGTTGCAGTTTTACATTATCTTGCAGCAATCATTACCTTCCAAAAATCAGTCAAAAAATAAGAAAAGCTAAAAGAAGGTCTTCTTAACTCTATTTGCTGGTCACAGCTGAAAAATTGGAAGAACAGTGAGATTGCAAAGACTTGTGCGTAAAATCATGCCAAGGAGGTGAAAGTAATTAAAAGAATATCAACAAATGATGTCAAGTCTTTTCCCAGTACTCAGTTGAAAAATGACTCTAAGACATAGAATTGTTTGCTATATACACTCAAATGCCTAGTCTTGGTGAAGAGAGAAAATTGTCTAAATTGATTCACGACCGTTTCATCTAGGACTATCGATGACCTGTTGGGGGTTTCGAAGACCTAGACGAGGGATATGGTTCACAGAAATCACGTCCATCAATTTTGACCTTGACATCCCCTGGCTGCCCGTTGTTATCTTCCCCATTTCCATTCAAACTGATACCTGAGAGCATTGTTCGAGTGTCGATATCCTTGACCACCTTCTTCATACGACTTAGATCCACAACATCACCTTCACGAGCCTTCTTCAGTTCATCCAACTCAACCATGATGGAGTAGATACGTTCGGTCATTGACTTCATGCCTTTTGCTACACTCGCCTGATTGTTTAATTGAGCTGACTAAAAAGAAGAAAGCATGTAAAATCGTTGGCTTAATAACTTTAACTCCAATACAAATAGGAATCTCGAGGACTGAGTCGAAAAGGACTTATCAAAATGCTCCTAGTACTACCAACCACACAGATTCACTGGAGATCAAAATTGGCTTAACGATTAAAAATGCAAATTTTTGTTTGAGTGTGTGTGCAGGCAAGTGTAAAAAAACAAGTCAACAAGGCGCTGAATAAATTGAGAGACAATGTCCCCTTCGCTTTTCTTTGTCAGTGTGATTGAAGGTGCTTTCAATCAGGGTATGACAAATTTATCGGCCTAATTCCCTCGGAATGAAGCTTCTTTCAGGAGATCTGGTGACAATAAAAACTATAAGGAAATCACACTCAAGTGCCAAACTGTGTCAGAAGTCTTGAGCAAAAAATCAGTCAATCATGTTTTAAAATTTTATTCTACACTAGGGTGTATTAGACTTCATATTAAAATGGTGAAATGCAGTGCCTGCAACAGTAGGCGATAGGAAGAAAAGAAGATTCCTTCCATCTTGTAAGAAAGAACTCTGACCCTCTGTGGATTGCACTTGTTGACTCAAAATGTCTGCTCTGAACAAATTTTAAGATGACAAATCATTAATGTTGATCAGGAACCAATCACAAATTCACTCGGCGCTGACGTCCATTGCCTAGTTTTGCACCTACCAGTACCGATTCCTACCCAACCCCCCCCCCCCCCCCCCCCCCCCCCCCCCACCCTCATTTCTCACAGGCGTCCATTCTCTCACCTCAATTAAGCGACTGAGTTGCAATCCCAGAATTAATTAAATAAAAAAACACCTACAGAGCCTCTTTTTGTTAATCAAATAAACGTAGTAAAAATAAATTTTATTCTCTTCTTATCTCCCACTATGAAGTAGATTCGAAATTAATCTAGCACTATCCAGAGGCCACCCTAATAATTGACGTCTTATCTTTACATGAAAGAAGAGCATTGCTTTACAAATACGAGGTATTTATTTCAACAAAATATGAAGGCAAACCTCAATAAACCTACACGAATCTGAATCGTGCTTCAGGTGTGATTGAACCCATCTCACCAAAGTCTTCAAACGCATACTTCATATATTACAAATGAACTTACTTTGATTTCCGAGAGTTGTCTACCGAAATCCCGAAGCTGTCCAGCAACGTCGTCTGCTTGTTCACGTTGTTCTCGTCGAATCGTCTCAACAATTTGTACAACATTCTCCATTTGATTTGCTATCGCATTTAAACGTTCCTGCTGATCATTGACTAAGCGCTGTAAGTCATTGACATTACGCGAGGATGACATTTCTGACATCCGGTTAGGATCAACTCGAGGCAGACTCGCAGCTATAACCATAACAGGATTGGGTAGACATATGCAAGTATTTAGATGCGTTGTCACACCTTAAAAGCAGTGCATTCTTGCAAATCAACTGCCAATAGCCTCTCTCCCCCCACCCACCCCAGCATTCAATTGTGAAGTCAGAGTACAACATAGGTCTCAAGTGTTTACCAACAATTATCTTGGATTAAGGGGTAGTGTTATGGGACCTTTGTAGTGAGAGATTTGATTTCTGCCAACATATTTATAAGCCGAACTTAACCATTACGTTTGGAAACTCTGTACCCTGGTTATCCAACAACGAAAAATTTAACCGATACACCCACAAGATGTGACAGTGCGTCATATGTGATAGAATAAATACGGAGTTGACCAGCTACATTTAGAGTATAGCAATCCCTGTTTAGACTTGAGCTAAGTTTGGCCTCTATCTTAAGAGTTATTACGCCCTTATCTGAAACACTTTGCGACGGTTTTCAATTTAAAATGAACAGATAATTCCACAATAATTCCCTGGATTATCGAAAGGATGCTCATTCAGACCGGTGGCACAGGAAATGAACCTCGTCAAGAAATTCGCACTCCATCTTCACGCCATTAACCAACAATGGCAGGTAAGGCGGACTACGGAATGAATAGTGGATATCGAAGGGTGAAACAATGCTACCGGCAAACAGTTACCAAATAAACCGAGTTTCTCCATCCACTTCTCCTATTTCAGTTTGTAAAAATCCTGATGCTGCTTAACTAAATGTTTTCAAAAGTATATGGCTAAACACACAGACATTGTGAATATTATTACTACTTTTCTCTTAATTGTCTTATTGCTGTAGGAAATTCTAGTCATCAGGTACACATAATTTTAAGCAATTCAGACCCCGTTAGCTTCACAATCCCATTTCCAGTTCTATTAGTTATCCTTTATGGAATAGTAAAACCTTTATGGAAAGAAAAAGTTGCTTCCCAAATTTGCAAGCGTGATGAGTGTATGACAGAAATAGAAAGTGCACGTGATTAGCCTGGCCACCATTTGGAGGGATGACATCTACCTGTCAATTTTATGTGGTGCATGCAAATCTCCTCATTTCAACACCCATCATGGATGTGAAATAGCGATTAAAAAAGCGATGCAAAAAAATGGTAATCGACAACTCACATTGCCCTAATCGAAGCAATAACAATTCACCACCAGAAAGGAGTGAATGAACCTCCCGGAAACTCTCAATGGATCTTCCTTATTAACTAATACTAAAGGCGTGCATAATTATTTTTTTCGACGTGGAAGTGCAATGAAAGCGTAACCAAACCAAATGAGTGCAAGACGTGGCGCAAAAGTGGACGGGAGTGTCGAGAATGCTCATCCACTCTCCCTCGTTATCTCCCTCTCCTCCTCCTCTCTCTCTCTCTCTCTCTTCCTCTCGAACTCACAACGTGTTTTATCATTGCTGACTTTGGCCACACTGGGAGGAACGAACGAAGAAAACGCACCATTTGGTTTTGAGGTTGCTGGTTTTGCTACTGCTCCTTCGTCGCCACGAAAAGATGCCC